ATTCAATTTTTGCCAAATTTTCTCGATATCATAGCATCACGAAATGAATCACGATTGCATAATATACCATTAACAGCAGAAATATTTTTGCCGATCAACAGAAATATTATCTTCCGATTTTATTACATGTCGACATAATAGCTCTTGTAGGATTTACTATCGTGATTTCTACCGAATCTTTAATTACAGCATATATTCGACATGCCATAGGAATGTTTGAAGTTGCTAGGTAAATTTTGAATTAAAATAATATGTATTTTTTACAATAAAATTATTTTAATAATTTAGTTTATATATATGTATCCATAATAGAAGAGTTAATCTATTGCATATCAATTTTTTTTAGTTACAGAATAGAACATGCATTTGACGAAGTATTGGGCATAATGACATCAAGGAAATGTTGTTTATATTGTACAAAAATAATAAATGCTATACACATTCATAGGAGAGCTATAAAGTTGGTATTTTTTAATGAAACTTTGTGTTATAATATTTTTTGTAGTAAATCCATTTATCCAATTAAACATATTGTTTTATTTATTATTAATTATTAATATTAACTTCAATTTAAAAAATTAGTTGGAAATATTTATTTTTGAGAATATAATAAAAATTTATATATATGAAAAATATATTTGATATTTATTATATTTTATATATAAAATTTTATTAATATGATTGTAATGATAGTATAAATATAGTATAAATCAATATAATATATTACTAAAGTATTTGTTTTATTTAAGATTCATTGAGTTTTTAAGATCTAGCTTCGCTATTTCGTATTTTTTCCTAGTTTGTTTGGGAATTACTTCTTTGACTGCTAATTTACTTCGCGTATGTTTATTGCTTTACATTTTTATTATATATACGATTAATTATTTTAAAATAAATTATATTTAATTTTTTCTATCATAGCTGTATTTAGCTACACAATATTTGAATAATTTAGAAGAATGTATCACTGCTGTATTACTTGTCCTTGGTCATATTTATTACATATTTTTTGGCAATTACACTAGCCAGAAATTAATAGATCAAAGTATAGATGTATTTCATAAAATGTAAGTTTTAATTTTTTAAGCAGCAACGTGTAAGCACTGTAAGTTTGTAAATTATTAGTTTAATAGATTGATATATCTTAAAAATTCATTTTCTAAGTAGTATATAAATTTAATATGTGATTGGTAAGGCTTGGATGTTCGTGTGA